GATCCCATTAGGGGGGAAGCTTTCTCAGCGCTTGTTTCTTCATTCACAAGACTCAAACTTGAGACCTTGCTTAAGGGGAACCAAGCTCCTTCCACTCGGACCAATAGGTTATTGGTTGTTGTTGTAGTGTTTTACCCATAACTCTTTATGTAGATATAGGATTGAGTTTATTCTTGATTCTATAGAAAGTTAAGAGATAGCTCTACAATTTTTCTATTGGACGCTTAACCCAGTTAATCTGTTTTCATGGTGAAAACTTTGCTACAAGTTTGGTTCTTGAAGGTGGACAAAACTGGCAGCCCAACCTTTTGTTACTATTTTGATCATAACTTTCTCTGTAAATGTCGGATTAACGTGATTATTGATCCTATAGAACGTTAAGACAAAGAGCTACAATTGATCTATCAACCATTTAGCTCAGATTGGTCAATTTCTGGGTGAAAATTCGATTGGAACTTTTGGTTTAAAGTCTAACCAAAACTTACTCAGAAATTTGCTCTGTTTTCTATTTTATTCCCACATTATCTGCTACTACATTGCATCATGGTTTTAATAGACTTTTAGCTGCTGCTTTCCTGCTCTAAAACCCCTTGTTATTACTTTGTTTTGGCTGTCTTTTTGCTACTGCCTTTTTGCTTGAATGCTGCCTAGTTTTGACTTGTATCTTGCATTGTTTTGCTATTGTTTTTACCCAGAATTCTACCCTGTTTTGCTGCTGTCTTTTTGCTTAGAAAATCCCTATTGTTTAGGGCTTTTTCCAAGCATTTTGGGATTGTTTTAAATGGTAGAAACCCCCACTTTTCTACCCAATATTTTTGTTGTGCTTAAGATAGTTTTGAGCTTAGTTTCTCACACTTTTTTTTTCTAGTTGTTTTGTTCAGCAAATCTGCTTGGTAAATCCACCATATGTAGTGTCTTTTGGAGCTATTTTAAAAGGGTAGAGGTGATCAGGATGTGTAGGAAGAAGTTGTTTCTTCAGTTACGAAACTTGATACTAGGATTAGGAACCAAATCTATTAAATGGAGTATGTTGTAATATTGTTTATTCATTTGATGTGGTATAGGTTCTAAATCCCCTTCATCGCCTTGAGATCTTGAATGCTTGCTTGTTGTATCCCTATGAGGCAAGGTAAGTAAAATTATGGTAAACACCCTTGGATTTTAAGGTAAAGGTTTTAAAAAGCATATTTGAACTGTTTTGAGATGGTGGCAGGACTGAAATTGAATTTTACTAGCACATGAGCATGAAGAGTTTGAAATAAAGTTGTTATTATTTTTATTGAGTTGAGTATGCCTACATGGAGTTTACTTGTTTGTTTTGGAAATCTGAAATTGGTTTGTAAGTTATGATTTTCTTGTTAACTCATATATATTTGTAAATTATGAATTTTTCCTATTGAACTCCTGCATGGTTTTGTCTTCAATATGGTCATGAATTCTGTTATCCTACTAGTGGGAGTTAAACACTAGCACATGTCGACATGTATTTCTGTAGGATCGGTTCATTCTGTATTTCTATCATCCTGCCAGTGGGAGAGTACATTAGCATCCTGCTAGTGGGATTGTACATTGGTATCTCTATTATCCTGCTAGTGGGATTGTACATTGGTATCTTGCCAATAGGAGAGTAGAATGGTATTTTGCCAGTGGGATCGTACATTAGTATCTTTGTTATTCTGCCTATGGGAAACTGTACTAGTATCCTTTTAGTGGGATCGTACATTGGTATTTCTATTATCCTACCAACTGGGATAGTACATTGGTCATGACTAATTGAGGAGATCACTTTTGAGCTTTACTATCCATCAATGGTTTATATTTGAGATTTTCCTTTAGTTTAAGTTTTAAAATGTTTACCTGACATGCTTTAAATTTTAGTGAGGACTATGCATATTTTTACTTATTAAGTTATCTCACATAATTTTTCCTCGTCCACCATTTCAGCTAGTGAGACTAGAGATGTGGGAGACTAAGGGGAGTGACGAGCTAAGGCTAGCCACTTGTATTTTGGATATAGATTTTTGAGATGTAGATCCTTCTTTTGTAAGCTGTATTTTATTTTGAGATTGTGAATTGCCAAATATGAATTAAGTAGATTTTGAGTCTTGTGCATTTGTGGGATCCTCTCACAAGTATACGACGTTTGTCTCGTTCTCGGTTCTGGGGCGTGACAAGGTAGAACCCCCAATTTTGCTCCTTAAATAAAAGTGCAAAGATAAATTTACCCCAAAAAATATAAATAAATTATTCCTTTAAATTATCAATCAAAATAAATCACTTATCATTTACTATGTAATGTCACCACAAGTCATAAACACCTAAGGATATTTAACGGAAAACTAACGTATAATTGCTTCACACGTTAAATAATAAGTTATTTGTTTTGATTAATAATTTGAAGGAGTAATTTGTCCTTTTTTTTAGAAGCGAATTTGTTCTTACACTCCTATTTGAGGATCAAATTTGAGGGTTTGGCCACCAAAACATTAAGCTATGACCATAGAATGTAAACCTACACATACTAATGAACAATTAAACTAAATAGAGAAATTATTTATAAAAGTGAAAATAGATAAAAACCTATATATCCCCTAATACAATTGTCACATTTAATGATGATTTGAAGAAAATAGCTGCCAAAGTATATCATGCGACAAGGATGCAACCTAAAAAACAAATGTTATGTCTTTAATTAAACTGATTAACCTAACAATTTTTTTTTTAGAATAGTCTAAACTCATACTCTCAAATCAGATCAACAACCATGAATTGCTAAGTGTAAAATCAGCTTAAAATAGAATGAGATTAAATAAAAAACTAAACTTCAGGAGACCTAATGTTAGTTCTGTCTTCAAGCTTGAATTTAAGCTTTATTCCCTACAAAACCTAACAAGTAAACGAGATTGAACAATAATAGTTTTTGAGTTGCAATCTGAAGGTGGGATTACAGATGAAAATCTTCTTCCAATTCCAACTTATGGATGCTATGTTACAACTCACTAGCTGATTCAAAATAAAACTCTTCCTTCTCTCTCTAGGCATTTTTTTTTGTCGACTTTTCTCCTTCGACTACCCTTTCTAATGCCTATTTATAATAAAAACTCACAAAACCCTATCCCATTTTTAGATTCTCAATCTCTGATTTGACCTCCTTTGATCTCCACCTATGAGTGCTCAAGGACAAATTTGACCTTTCTATTGGGAAGAAGCAAGACAAGTAGGGCTGGCTGGTAGATCTTGGACACCAAGAAGGGGACCATTGTAGGGTTCTTTGTGGTGCTTCTTGTTAGAATTTTAAAAATCAACATATGTAAGATTTAGAATACCAAGACCTAATAAAATAAATAAATTGCATACCTCAGTCTTCATAATCAAGATATTGCCCAAGAATCTTCAAGGATCATTATAATTTCTCTTTTGATAAAACCTAAGAAACAAATATAGTTTGTATTGGGATTTAGGTCTTCCTGTCCCTATTCAATTTCTGTATAGTGACAACCAATGGGTTATGCCACTCCCTAACTCTACTATTTATAGAGGTAGGGTTTTCTAAACCCATTATAGTAATCTTTTGGGCATCCTC